CTAACATCAATTAATGTTCTCTCTCCAATTGTTGTGAAATGAAAGATGCCCTTCAAAGCAAACATCCAAAATTTAATTTTAAATGTAAAAACCAATAGAATTAGTTTTAGCCTGAAGGCTCAGTTTGGAAGGAATAGAAATATAAATATGTAGAGTGTAAAATTATGTATTTTTACTGTATATATTTGTATTTGTACTCCTTCCAAACTGAGCCAAAAGGATTGATGAGTCTATCACAACGAGCGCTCAAATGATCAAGATTTCAAGACTAAAAGGTCCAAAATCTAAAAGTCAGAGTTCAAATTGATGCCCTACAAGCGTTCTACATGCACATCTCAATGTGCATTGAAAACATCTTTGATACTTGTCATGTGGAGATGTTCTCAATACATGACTAAGATGGGCTGTGAAGTATGTTCTACAGGGCACCCATGCGAATTTCCAAAGCCCATATGTGGAGAGGTAATCCCAAGTACACAACTAGAAGAATCCAGCCACCAAAAAAATGACAAGTGGCAAGTTACTGGAAGAAAGCCCTCTTGTTTAGTGTATCTTCTCTCATGTCAAAGATTTTGTATATCAACAATTCAAGGAATGGCTGCTCAGTTAGTAACACCAGGGTTCTATTTGTTTGCAGTGCAAATCTGAACCAAATACAACTTTAGCACTTGATTTGATCTGTTTATTTGTAATTATGATTTACACTTTCATCTGATATAATATTGTATTTCTTGTCTCATTTGCATTCATTAGCAGTGCAAAATTTTTATCTCAAAATTAAGCTGATTCAAAATTTCCACCTCCCTCTAATCTCAATTCTCTCTAATATAAGGTGGAGATTACGTCATCTTGCTTTTCACCTCACTCCCAACTAAATTATCCTTGTCCTACCTCCACTTTCTTTCATATAAGGTGGAGACCACATTATTTCGCTTCTCACAAACAAATAGACAGTAAAAAACAAAGCAAAAGTAAATCAAAATTTACACTCAACCTATTTGCTACATTAATGCAAATGAAATTTGCACTGCAAGCAAACAGAGCCCAAATAATTCAAATATATATCAGGAAAAAAAATATTATTATTTTTTTTTTGCATGTCCTATGTAGACGTGTCATTTTTTAACTGAGAAGTTGGGATTTGGGAGGCCTTAAGATTTTGTTAAGTTGCTAATTAAGAAGCCATTAAAAAAAGCACTATAGATTTTTGAATGGGCCCCATCTCATGAGAGATGAGTTCTAAGGTCTGCATTTGCACCAAAAACCAATGGAAATACAATACACCGTATTTCATGCAATGAACCCAACACGCTTTAATTACTTTCCACATTTGAAGAAATTTATAAAATAATAGCTTTCACTTAATGGAGACAAAGTTTTGATTTATTTCTTAAAGTTTAAAGTTACTTATTAAGCAAATAATATATGTAGTGGTAGAAGTATATTCTGATCAGATATCCTTTTGTGCAACGTAACTCTTGTACAAAAGAATATCCCTATACAAATAATATCTACAAACAACCGTTAATTAATCAATCAGATGAAAACATTTATTAACGAATTAATCAATCATTTATAGAAACCCAATTTTGAATCAATTCATGTATGTGCAGAAACATCTTGCCTATATGATTAGTTATATACAATCCATGTGTCTAACCACTTAAACAATCTAGATTGGCGACAACTTAAGAGATTTTAATTATCTAATAAACCAAATGAGCAGATTACATTAGTTTATTTGATGTGATGGGGTTTAGAGGAGTTAGGGTTTTGATGATGTTCAATATAATAATGAATTAGTATTGGAGATGGAGTCAAAATGGGCCAGGGTTGGTGGATTGTGGGCCCATAGCCCACATGGGGTGGATTCACCACCCATTACGGATAAGAGGGTGGTTTTGAGGATTGTGAGATCTAAACCCACCCAACACGTTGTGGTGGCTCCATGTGCTCAGATGGGGGATGGGTTGAGATGTTTAGTGGCCTTACAACCATTTCCCTTATTCAAATTCATCCTCCACTTTAGGACCCACCGGCAACGGTGCCTGCCGGTCTGATTGCTCATCTTTTTGTTGGGGCTTGTCTTCCTAATGCAAAATTTCTCATGTCAGCCTAATTAATACTGCCTTTTGCTTACCTGTAAAGCCATCAGTTTTCTAAACAGGTGGAACCTTCTCTCCCTTTCTAAGCTATCTTAGATCTCTAGTGGGTCCCATCTGTTTTTTTTTTTTCTTTTGTGCTTTTAGGAAATATTAGGTGCACATGATTGTCTTCCTATATAAAGTCCACTTCTCTTGTGGAAGTTGGTTGTGACATGCCCCTTTGAGTTTCTCTTTTCTACTACTACTACTGTTGAAGTTCTTTTTGCTGCTTCTTCTTCTTGCTTCTTCTCCTGCTCTACTGCTGCTACTATTATTTCTTTTTATTTTTATTCTTTAAGACTTCTGAATCATCAATGGAAAGTTGGGAATCGGTCACCGATAATGTCGAATTCGAAGGAATGGATGTCTCCGAAATCGACGAAACTCTTCTCAAGTCATTGCTAGAAGAAGCACAAGTGGAGGAGACTGAAGATGAGAGGTTGGGTTGTGTAATTCGATCTCTAGAAGCAGAGATTGACCCTAATATGATGGATGGGTGTGGTGTTACAAAGCCGGAATTGGGTGGTCATGGCAATTGTGAGGAAGACATGGGAGTAGGGGATGGTCACAACTGCTCATCAGGGTCTTGTCCATCCCAGCAAATCATCAATGAATTTGATTGGATTGATATGGATATGGGCCCTTCCACCCCAAGTGATGACATGGGGAATTGGTACATGGATTCATGCGCTGGGGAGATGGTTGAGTTGGTTGAGTTTGGAGAAGTGATCAGTGATTATTCTCAGTTCTACTTTGGTGTTCCATTGGATCAGGAGCATGCCTACAGCTCCTTGTGGCAGGAATCTTATGATTCTGTGATTTTCTAATCAGAACAAGATGGTGTGGAGCACTGTGATGAACACCAACCATGAATTGTGCATAGAATCTTTGAAATGATCATGTAAACTTGATTGATTACAGATTTGTATTCAAAACTGAAGCCTCTTATGGAGTATCAATTTTTTTAAAACCATTACTTTAATTCAATTCTTGTTTCTCTTTACCATTTGCTCAAAAAAAGGATTATTTACTATAACACACATCCCCTATAGTTTCACAGATTTATTTAAACCTACCCTATAGATTATAGTTTCAATTTTCTAATTAAAATACCTTCTATAGTTTGCAACATATTTACTTAATTGACCTTTCACTAAGAAGTGTTTGTTTTGTCATCTAACATTATCACCAAAACTGCATGGAAATAATATTTTCATTTTCTTTTTCTTTTGATTAAATTTATTCAAATGGACATTAGGATTAAAACTGTCATTTTTTACTATCATCTAATGAAAGGTCAATTAAGTAAACCGATTGCAAATTATAAGGGGTATTTTTGTAAATTCCCAAAACCATAAGGCATAAGGGGTGTTTTAGTAAATTGCCCAAAAATAGTGATAAAATAAAATAATGTAAACAAGGAGTTATTAATTATCAAGGGGAGAGTACCATATAAAAAATGAGATGTACCCGACAATGCACCTTTCTTTAAGACAAGATGCATGTATTTGGGTATAGAGAAATTAAAAGATGAGAGATAATGAAATGGGAATTGACTCAGACAGCACGTAGGTGCTTATGCAATAAGCCATTGACATTGGACTAGAACATGGATTAATTGCTTTTCATGCCAGTACAACGGTGGCTATGGTTGTTCTAAGTGATTCCTGTGGACAGTTGATTCTGGTGGGGGGAGGGATTCCTAAAGCAATATACCAATTAAATTGGTGGCTTCAGTTTGACACAAACCTTTTGAATGCATAGGAACTGTAGAAGAACATATTTTAGAGGAGCTGAAAGGATTCTTTTAACATGATGGAAAGGAGGGAAGAACTTTAGATTTCCACAGTAAATAACTTTTGGGTGTAAGTTTAATAGAAAGAAAGTGATTAAGTGTTACCGAAGGAAAAAAAATATGGGGATCAAATCATGAGATCTTCACTAGTGGATGTAGTGACTGGTGAAGAAGAAACCAACGATTCATTATGAGAATCAGTGAAGCCATGGCTGCAACGTGGACCAGAACAGAACGGCAAACTGAGCACTTTGTTCCTCTTCTGTTTCCTTTGACGAGCATCATATGTTGATCCCATAAAAAGATGCTCAGATGCTTGAGTTGAATCAGTAGTGATGATTTGATGATGTCATGAAGACAACCAAGACTGAAAAGATTTAGAGGTTCTCTGACGATTTCTTCTTTGTTTTGGTAAATTCTGACGATTTTTTCTGTTGGCAATTTGGATAGTGCAATCAACATCCTCCTGAAGCTTATTTTCCATGCTAGAATAGAATTCAACCGTTCGCCGGAGATTAGGACCTTAAATCTGGTACTTAACATGCTTGTATCGGCTGAACAATTTGAGGTGGTTCACGAAGTGTACTTGGCCAAATTCATTAGGAACTTAAATTCAGGGGATTTGCGAAAAGGCATGGGAAATGGCAATCAGTGGACATGCTAAGTTAAATCCAATCCATTCTGGGTCTAAGACAAACAGAAATTCATGTTTCTCATCCATGAGCAGAGGTCTCATGGAAGAGATTTGACTGCAGAAAAGTCTCTAGATTCTAAAGCCATCCTACATGAAAGTGTACAACAGAACTAAATCAGATCTTTATACAGCTTTTCTGTCGAATTAGATTCACTTGCATTCTCAGTCGAGTGACTCAAGTCAGCATGTATCAAGGATCTGCCAGCTTCCTAATTCCCGTTTCCCTGCTCCAAGCGTGCCATGCATTTCCTCTATTGCCTAGAGCAGCATCCTAGTCAATAAAATGGATCTGATCCACAAGATCTTGAACAACCATGACTTTAAAAAACAATTTTTAGTTAGAAGTATGCTACTTGCTCCAAAGGTCTTAAATGCACAAAAACAATTATAGAAAGGTAAGATGGGAGTATTCCTCTAAATTACAATTGTACAACCTACAAAAACTCAGGTACATTGTTTATATGATTTTTTCTTACAAATATCCTCCATATGAATCAACAGGCAATAACTCAAATAATATGTCATCACATTCACCATGCCCGGTTCTGAGTTTCTCCTTGAATCTAAAAATGCAATTTAAAGTTCTAAACAAGAGAATGAGATATAGTACACAGATAGATCCAGCCAACTAAATGATTTGTCATCAAGTTCTTAAATTTCACCAAAGCAATTAATCTGAGGCCACCTTCAGCAAATTCGCATCTTCCAAGCTTATCATCCCATCATTCATTTGCAGCCAAGTTCTCTCTCAGCTTTGGGTCTGAAGATTCTTCAACTAGTCCATCACCATGTAATTCAGAGGAACTCACCACATTGTTTTCCATTTCCACATCCGAAGTTTCTTTGGTATTTGTTGCAGAATCACACAGGCTCTCCAAGACATTTTGCTCCTTGGGGGATTCTGCAACCTGCCCATTTATTGGAGTGGAATCAATTGGGATTCCCTCAACCACTGCAGTAAATTCCCTATCAATTGGGATTCCCTCAATCACTGAAGCATGATCCTTTGATGAGGATACGGATAATTCATCAGATGAGTCAGATTCCTGAAGGTTCTCAGTCAAGACTGACAGTAAATCTTTATCGTTTGATACAGATGATGTATCACCCTTAGACCTGTTTGACCCCATCCTGAAAAGAACATGCTTTACACCATGAGCAGACCTTTCAGCATTCTCCAGAATGCTATTTTCCATACCTTTAATGTTTTCCTTGCCTGGCCCCTCTGTCTCAGGGTTCAATGTCCCATCATCAGCTTTTGGCTCTTGGGCAGTTAGACCACCTGTGATACTATCACCCAGAATAATTTTTAGAGGCATTGTCCTCTCATTGACTGCTCTAAGGTTGACACGGGGTGTGGGAATACTGTCTCTCATATTGGTGGATTCCTCCTTTCTAGGACTTCTGTGGAATGCTGAACCAATTTTCTCCAGGCTCCTCCAAACCATGTTAAGAGGACCTCGGTTCTTTCCTTCTGAATTTTCATCACTGCTGCTGTCATCATTGCATTGGGACCCACCTGATGCTGAATGAAGGTGGTCAGTGGAGAGATCCTCTCTGTATATTTGGGTATCAAATTTCCTACTCTTCCCCTTTCTAGGCTCCCAAGTTGGTGAAACATCACTTCCTGGGTGATGAACCCATACTCCTACCTGCTGTTTCCCTTCAATGTTAATGGGTTCAAATTTATCTGCTATTTTTTGAGACTGATCTGTCATTGAAGTTGAATCAGAACCTTTCTCAGAAATTCCATTCGGATCCAGGCTGGTATTTTCTTTCTTGGTCGATAGTTCCCCAAATAGATTTTCTCTCTGCATCTCAAAAATCAAGCCAAACTCTTAAGTGTTCTGTTCTTTCTTTTCTTTTTTTTTACACATAAATAACAAAGATATACCTTGCCATTGGTATCAAGTACAGTTACTGCTAGATGAAGTCTTCCCATTTTAATGTTCCGAAGAGGCAACCACAGGTCATGCTTCTGTCCTCCCCTTAGGTCAGTAATGTTTACCGAACAGTCTCTGCAGATAATATTTCGTTAGATGATTTCAAAACCTACAGAACAATGCTAATTATGTATATTCCAGCATACCAAATGTCTGAGATAGTGACAGATCAAAGTGGGGGAATGATACATATGCTTTTCATTACACAGAAAAATATATATTTAAGTTGCAGAAAACTAGGAATTAAGATGCAGACCCAAGGGTATCATCAAGGAAATGGTCTTTGTCACGAACTTCAAGAGTTAGAACATTGGGTGATTCCCATGTACAAATGGGTATTTTGAATTCCTCCTGCCACTTTGGAGCCAGTGTTTTAACATACGGATGGACCAAGTTGCCCTTTAACATACGGATCAACCAACTTGTATGGACCAAGTTGCCCTTTAACATACGGATCAGCCAATCCTGAAAGATAAATCCAGTCAAAACTCATAAAACGTTTTTTTTCTTTTTTCAATTCTAATGGTCTTGTTGGGAACTAAGTACATGAGTAAGTCAGAAAACCAACCATTTGGATCAGATGGTTTCATGTCAATTCCTTCCACAATTTCCACTCTGGCATAAGCAATGGGTTCTTTCTCATACACAGAAAACCAACCACCTGAAAGTTTTTAAGCAGCACACAGCCCGTAAATTGTTGGAACCCTTGATACTGATAGAAATAAATGACAAAACACATGCAGGTAACTATTACTCCGTGTTCATCATCTCCACAGAAACTTATAACAAGGATGTAGACCCTGACTAAAATAACAAGTTATAAATAAAAATCTACATGCAAAGCACAGTTTAGATGTCTGTTAGTCACCATAAGTAGTTAATCTCCCAGATCTTATGATGTCAAATCTTTGAGAACCAAGCTGAAACTCATGATATATGTTGGCTAAAGTTGCATTAGCTAACATTTCATTAGAAAGTTTCTAACATTCCTGGAAGCAGAACATAGATTTCTTTTCCCGGAACACCAAAATATTCTGTTGGAGTGTTACGAAGTGTCATGTAAAAGACCACCAAGTTCCATTTAAAAAATAAAAGAAAATAAAGGAAAAAATGGCCACAATGTCTTTGTACTTCAGTTGTTTTCTAGCCTTAATCCTTGGAGAATTGCTAGTACTGCTGCTTTTGTAGAATCCCATTGGCCAATAGGTCCTGAAAAATGGCCATAACTTTACCATGACTTTTCATGAAGACTCCACCAATACCCTAAATAAAAATATTATATTTTGGCAATATAGTTGAAAAGGACATGGGTAGAAGAGCTAGGGGTAGACCAAAAAGGACATGGGTAGTAAGAAATGATTTAAGCACTAATAATTTAACAGTGGATATGGTTTTAAATAGAATGGAGTGGTGGAACAGGATTCATGTAGCTGACCCCATATAGTTGGGAAAAGGCATATGGATGATGATGATGATGAGTTGAAAAGGATGTACTTTATGAAATCTCCCATATGGAGGTTAGAAAAACTGGCATAGCCCCTCAAGTAACAAGGTATAACATTGAAAGGATCACGGACAGCATGCACAAAGGACTCTCCTAACTGATAAAAAAAGGACCCTCCTTTTTTCACAGTATGGTTTGACAACTAGACCCACTCAATAAAAAATTCAAGAAAAAACATAAAAGATGAAAATGGTTCTAGATTATATTTTAAAACATTTTTACAAAGTTATTATCAAAATAAGCTTGTAACAATAAATTTTATAAGTTATTAAACCTATTTAGACTGTATTTAAGTAGGTTTTACTAAGTCAACATTTCTAAGAACCAGGCAGACTAAAAACCATTTTGGCTTCTACTTCCCCATTATAATAGTCCAACATGCCAGCTCAAGCAAAACCTGAAAACACCAGGTCGTCATCATATAGGCCTTGCCCCAACTATATTGGGCTGGCTATAGGCATGCAACTTGGACAGGGTGCCAAGGTGGGCTGGGTTTAATCACTTTAAGTCAACCCAGGCCCAAGTGCCCAACCCCAACACATGGGCCTAAGGCCCATTCCAGGATCAAGCCCAATCTATCCAATCCAGACCCAGCCCAAACTAAAATTTGACACACTTGGTTGGGCTCGGGCCAGCTGGCTAAGGGTTGATTACTTGGGCTGAGGCGGGCCTATTGGGCAATGGGCACAGCTTTTTAAAAATGTTCCTAAACCTATGCATGTATGTATGTAGTGTATGTAGCTGGGCTAGGCTTGAGCAATGTTGGTGTTAGGCTAGGATTGGGCTCGGTTTTTTTTTTTTATCAATAACAACAGCTTCATTAATTTAAAAGAAAAGAAGGAGTATGGATACAAGAGGGGAGATAAAATATCTTAGCTCCCCAAAAACTGAATACAATGGGAATACAAAGAGAAAAAATTAAAGACTAGCCCAAAAAACAGACTCCCTATTCACCCCTTGCTTGGCCAGACCATCCGCAAATGAATTGGCACTCCTCTTCACCCAACTGTATTGTATCTCAACATCCCTACATAACCATAAGAACTGCTTCTTTTCATTGTTATAGTTCCACAATCCGCTGTCATCTTTCTTCAGCCAGCTAACCACCACCTTCGAATCACCTTCCAGGATCAAACGGCTGATATTTAATTCCTTTGCTCTACGAATTCCTTCAAGCGCAGCAAGGATCTCAGCCCTAAGAGAGTCGCCTTATCCAATAGGGCCAGAGAACAAAGCAATAGCAATCCCTTCCTCATTCCTGAAGACTCCTCCAATCCCTAATGGCCCTGGATTCCCTACACTACTGCCATCAAAATTCAACTTTATAACACCCAATGGGGGGGGAGAGGGGGGGACCAAGAGGGACAAAGAGTCCTCTTGCACCTAGCAGTGGAAGCAATCTCTTTCCAATTTCTTTGTAAGTCATCCATAGGAAAGTCTGAAAACAACTCTAAAAATTTTAGCCAGTGGACAGCCCTTAGAAGGATTAGGTCTAACAGTTCTTCCAGGGTTCTTTCCTTGTCTGAAAAAATACGTGAGTTTCTTTCTTCCCACAATGACCAGCACACAGCTACCCTAATAATCCTCCACATAGTCTTCCCTCGCTTCTTAGGCCATTGGAAAAAAGAGGGAGAGAACAAACTTTGGACACTCTCAGGCAGATTCCAAGAACACCCAAAGAGGGAGATAGCCCACTCCCACACAGTTTTAGCAACCTTACAAGAGACCATGAGGTGTTAGGCTAGGATTGGGCTCGGTGTTTTTTTTTTTTTGGTAATTGGCTCAGTTCAGGTTATCCAAAGACTAGGCTTGGGCCCAATACAAGAAAAAATAGGGAAATGAGGTTTTAAGCCCAAGCCGAGCCCAAGGACCTAGAAATCCAAACCCAACCTGTATAAAATTTCAAATTGGGTCGATCAGGGCTAAGATGGGCCTGCCCAAGTTGTAACCCTAGCTCACTGCTTGAATCCTGTTCTGCCATTCCATTCTATTCAATGAGCCATATCCATTATTAAATTATGGACCTTTATACCATTTCTAACTACGTCTACCCAATGTTCGAAGTATTGATACATATTGTAACGTATCATACAATAAATAACAATTTTCAGGGTCATCAATATGCAAACATGGGAGTTCTGTTATTTTAACTGTTTTATATATTAAAAATTACTGTAGCATACCCACTGTAAAATTGTCAAACCAAAAATATTAAAAGAAAAGGAGTATCAGTTAAAGAAAACTCTTGATATGCTGATTTTTCATATTGAGAGTATCAATACTTTGTACCTTACTTCTAGCCATATCCTTTTAGACTGCTCCTCTAGCCCCTTCATTTGTAACATATCACTTCTTATTACAGGTGTCATAAATAGTTTTCTCAGCATGTGTGAAACCATCTTAGTCTACTTTTCCTCATTTTATCACCTGCTGGAGCTAGTCGTAAGTTCCTTCATTTCTACTCTTTCTACTGGTTTTCCTTTACATAGTTCTTAAATATCTTTTGCTTTCTGGAGCAAGGTGAAGTTTCATATTGAGAGTCTCTAGACCCTTCATTTTGTAACATATCACTTCTTATTACAGGTGCCATAAAGAGCATTCTCTGCATGTGCCCAAACCATCTTAGTCTACTTTTCCTCATTTTATCACCTGTTGGAGCTAGTTGTAAGTTCCTTCGTTTCTACTCTTTCTACTGTTTTTTCCTTTACATTGATCTTAAATATCTTTTGCTTTCTGGAGCAAGGTGAAGTTTCAACAAGATTACATCTGAGTAAGAAATGAAATTGTAAAACTTCATATGAATACTTTGAATGGTAATTCCTGGTGAAAAGAGCAACCAAGGGATTAGTAAACAAACCTTGAAGATTATCTTTGACTTACAAAATGTCCATTTTCAAGTGCAATGGTAAAACCACAGGCTGACCAGTGTGAGAAAACAGGTTTGAATCAGAGAGCGGTGGCCTTGTACAAAAATGCCCAAGTTTTGAAATCTATCCAATCCCATGTTTTCAAATGAACAAGATGGTGACTTCTGTAGCTAATGATATTAAATGTTAATTCACACATAAAGGATCAAACAACCCATCTTTGTAAATGTCAAGAGTACCCATTGATTTGGGTACCCTATGCCACCAGGCCTACACATTTTGAGAGCACAATGCTATTTATTAAGAATAGGGGTCATTGCCTTGAGGGCTAATAATATAACCAATGTTTTAAAACATGGAGGCGTGATGCAAGGCATTCCACTACAGAGGCGTTAGGTAGTTCAGAATGTAAGAGGCGTAAGCCTCCTTAAGAGGAGGGGGATGAAGAGAAGGAGGAGGAAGGGGAAGAGGAAGAGGAAGAAAAGGAAGGAGAATCTCATTTTTTTCTTTTTTATTTAATAAAAATCTTTTATATTAAGAAGAATGAAGATTCATAGCACTAGTTGAAAGGAAGGAGAATCACATTTTTCTCTTTCTTTCCTTTCCTTTCCCTTTGCTTTCTTTTCCTTTCCTTTTTTTCTTTTTTTCTTTTTTTCTTTTTTTCTGTCCTTTGATATGAGGTGTGCAAAAGGCATATGCCTCTAGCATGCCTCATGAAAAAAGTGTACGAGGCGCACACCTCTTGCACCTGAGGCGTATGCCTTAGACGTGTCAATGCCTCTGGCATACACCTCGGGGCGTTTTGGAGGCGCCCCACCTGGAGGAGCACCTCCAGGCATATACCTCCCACGCCTTTTAAAACACAATATAACAATGGATATGGCACTGAACAGACTAAAATGACAAAACAGAATTCATGTAGCCAACCCCATGTACTTGGGATAGAGCTTAGTTGAGTTGGAGAAGCAATTACTTACTGCGATGGTAAAGTCTTGGGCTGTGAAAAGTGTGAGAACCCAAGTTCCATTACAGAGAAGCCATTTTGCAACAAATGAAAATAAGTTAAAATGTTAAGTTTGCATCCAGTCCACCCTTTCCCAAGACCCCAGATAGCAGTGACCAGCACTGGGTAATGCTCTATAGCTCCATTTAATAAGAATGCCAATTTTACTACTTAAACCACAAGCAATTTAACATAGTTCCACCATTTAATAAGCTCAATATCGAGTCTGATTGATAAATATTTTTCACTGTAAGTACCTGCTGGTGCTGAGATAAACTTTTCAACATCAACAACCAACATATTGGGCTGCAGAGCAAAGAATTTATACCATAAATAAGTTCCCAAATAAATGCCATGGTCTGAAACTTTACAACTTCTGAATTAAGAAAAATATAAGAGTATGCTATAGAATTAAGCATTTTATCACTGGGTTTTTAATAAATATTTATTTTGTATAGGATGTGTTTAACTTTCTGAAAATATCAGCAGCTAACAAAGAACTAACCTCCACAAGTGTCTCTTCAAATGCAACAGCAAGAAGTTTATCCTGATTAAAATAAACATTAAAAAATTGGTTAGATTCCTCTTAAAAAATATAAAGCAGTGGATCCTTGTCTTGAATCACAGAAAAATGAAGAAAGCTTACCAACCACCCTGCAATTCCTGGAAGTTCTGTAACATCAATTCCATGGTTAAAGATAGGTTTTACTGTCATTTGGAAGTAAGGTGGTTCAGCAAAGCATAACCGCAGACGCCCAAGGAAAGGCCACTCATGGAGAAATTTCACACCAATCAAAACCTACAAAAGAAAAAGAATATACATATACTTTGGAGTAATATTAAAACTAAACAATGAAATTATGTAACCTTCTTTAGTTATATATGTTTCTTTTCTTCTTGACTAGGAACAGGATTTTTTCCCCCACAAAGAACTAGCACAGTAAAAAATACATGAAATTTATATTTGAGAGTTCAGATAATGGATAATACACTGAAGAATATTGAGTGCAAAGTGCTCATCCAGACTAACAAGATCAATTCTCTTACATAGAACGCATAAATTGATATTATTTGATATAACAGAAATTTAACTTGAATCAGAAATCATGAAGAAAGAAAATGATATAATTCAAAGCCTCTATAAGGAGCCATAATGGTGTAGCAGGATTAGGCCTTTACCAGAATGCTTGATGCCACAGGTTCCAATGATTTCCATTTGCCCACAGTTTTAATTCCAAGGTGCTTCTATATTGACCCCATAATGAGGCATGCAGCATCAGGCCCATGACCCATCTTCTAAGGATAAAGTTCCTAGTTAGCAATGCAAATGGTTTACATGTGTACTACAAGTTATTTTTTATTAGTTTTTGTCTTCCTTAAAAGGTAGATTACTTATGCAGATAAGTTTCTTAGAGCCAAGGAGGGTTTCAATGCCCCTCCTTCTCTCACATATCAAGTCCCATCCTTTAAACTAAAGTCCAGTCTGCAAACTAAGACTGCAGGTGCAACATCGATAACATTCTATGTTCAATCTGAAAAAGAGGAAAAAATAAAACAATGACAAAGTATAAGTCCCAACATAGAAGTTCCTAACACGTCCTTAGTCTGGCAGACAGAGAAACACAAGTACAACCTAAGAAACCTTTTATCTCGGAGTAGACCTGAAATATAAGTCACAGTGTAGAAGCTTCCAATCTATTCTTAATTTACAATTAGGTTATATTTTTTCCTTTTTTAACTTAACTGAGGTAATTTCAGGAAGCAATTAATTGGTGGAATAATCTTTTATCCTAGAGAAGAAGGGCAAAATGGAAAAGTGTGACCTTGTAACCAATCTCAAAGAGTTAACACCACTTAGATAACAACAAAAAGACACCATTTTCACATCTCTTTTCTACTTGGCATCAAGCTTAGCTTTCACGACAGAATTATGATCATTCATTGAAGATAAAACCAGTCAAAGCCCCTACAAGAATTATTAGAAATTTGGTAATGAGTCCAAACAAAGTGAAGATCAGTAGCTTTCAATGTGACTTATGACTTATCCTGTTCAAACTTCAAAATAATTCAATGCTTCTCATTTATTTATTTATTGTTTACTTATGTAACCCAATGTTTTTTCATGCTAATCTTATATGTAGCACTAATCTAATAGAAAGGGAAAAAGATGAAAATGTCCACTAAGATGAAAGCCTAAAAGAAGAGCCATCATCATCGTCTAATCCTTGTCCCAACTTTATGGGGTCAGCTACATGAATCCTATTTTTCCATTCCATAACTTCTCCATATTCATTGTCAAATTATGAGTTCTTAGGGCATTCCTTACTACTTCAACCCATGACCTTTTTGGTATGCCCCTAGCACTTCTAGCCCTTTCAACTTGCAACAAATTGCTTCTTCTTATGGGTGCCGAAGATGGTCTTCTATGCACATGACCAAACCATCACCCCATCTAGGGTTTCAGGTATGCAATGGAGAAGACGAAGAACACTTGAGGGAAATACCCACACCCCAAAAGAGCCAAGTTTTATTGAGATGGCATAACATATGTACATTTATAAATGCCCTTACTAAGAGGGCAAACCAAAGAGAAACAAGAAATACAACATCATACCCCATATACAAGCTACTATATTATTATAGGACCTAACGAATAAAGAGAAAAACTACGACTGTCTACAGAAACCATCTTAGTCTACTTTCTCTCATTTTATCACCTAATTGGAGCTGCTTGTAGGTTTCATCAAACGTCTTGATATCTAACCCTATCTTTTATTTAGTTTTTCCACTCATCCATCTCAAAATATGCATTTCTACCACACCCATTTTCTGGACATTCTTTTTGATTGCCCAACACTCATTTAGTGAGGAAACTGATCACACTAAATGAACATGAAATGTACTACATCTAATGAACAATTGACAACTATGGTCCTCTTTGACCATTAAATCTTGAACTGTCATCAATTTTATCATACTCATCTCCCTGGTGGTTGGATGCTTGGATAAACATTCTAGGCGGTTATAGAGACATAAGCTATATTACATGGAAAGGCCATTACCCAAGGTTTATCCCAGCTGTCTGGGGCCTTGAGAAAATGAAATGGATAGAGACCTAATCTTTGGCATGTTTTTTCTTTTCTTTTTCTTTTTCTTTTTCTTTTTCTTTTTATTTATTTAATGACGGATATGGTACTGAACAGAACAGAATGGGGAAACGGGATTCATGTAGCCGAGCCCATATAGTTGGGACAAGGCTTAAATGGTGGTGATGGTTTATTTATTTATTTATTTATTTTTGCACAAAGTGCCCACTCTCAGACTTTAACCTGTGTTCTTACACTCGGCAACCTGAGATTATAACATTACACCAAGCAATGGCCCCTATAAGCTACATAATATGGATATTTGAAAAGGAGAAACAACTGCTGGAAGCACTTCAATGGTGAGTAGAGAATGCCAAATTAAGTTGCAACTCTGCTTGAGCAAAGATGCATAATGTTTATCCAAAAGATACACCAAAATATGGATTTCCCCACATTTAAGAAATAGACTTCGGAGTATAATGAGAATAACGTTTTTTTAGGTAAGCATAAAATGAAAATAACATGGATATTAGGTGTTACTGGATTTCCCCACACTTCCCATTTTGTATCCATCTTTGATAAATGTAGGTATCAAAGATATGCCAGAAATATTAAGGATATTTTGAATCATGTAAGTAGAAACTCAAGCTTAATAATTATGCACCATAGATGGAAGTACAATACTCAAAAAGTTATCCTGTATTAAAGACTAAGACCTGTCGGATAAAAAAAGGATCAAGACTTCACTGGATATAACTATGACAAAAGTTCATATATCTTTAAAGGTTATATGGACTTTCTTTTTTTTTTTTTTTTGGAGGGGAAGAATTAGATTTTACTATGTTAATCCTTAAGTATTTGTGGTACTGTCAAGTATATTTCAAAGAGATCAACCCAAAAAGAAGAAAAACAAGAACAAAATAACAATTAGTTTTGCAATTCATACTTTATTGTATTCACAGAATTTTGAATCTCATACATATATATATCAAACTTCATTTTCCAGTATGTGTAGAAAAGAAAAACTTCAATGTCCAGTATGATTCAAAAGATATGAATGAGAACCAAATACTTCAACATAAAAATACCATACTAATTTCTGTACCTTCCCTTCAATATGCATGCTTGTCACATGCAATTTCGCCCACATGCCAAATCCAAATCTCTTTCTTAATTTTACAGCAAGTATTGCACTCATGTCATCTGCCGAAAGAAACTTCATTCCCAACTCAAGAACCTGCATGAACTTGGTTGTAACCACATCTAGTGGAGGAAAGACTAATAAACTTTAACCACAAACATATATTCAATATGACCTATATGTCCCATTTGAATGGCTGGAGTAACATATACCAGGTGATCATCATCAGCAGATTGACGAAGGACCCGTATATCTGTAAACATTGGAGGGGTCCTTCCCATGTAAAGATGCTGGATAACTGCTTTCTTCTACACATGCACATGGAATAAAATACATCAATTTCTCAATGTCAACAACTAAAACATAATCATCCAAGTAAAAATACACATAAGAATACATGCAAGCATGCAGAAACATGGAAAGTTGTGTCAGCAAGTTGCTGTTGACTCAATATAATTTAAAACCTTGATTCAGGCAGCCCAAATTTCTTTTAGGTAACAAAATTTTTGGGAATGCCAGAATATACCAACAAGTGTATAATAACCCATTTAGGAAACGAGCTGGCTAAAATTATAACACTCTAACATGGACTAGGCACCTTTCATTTGTTTTTCCACAGGGTTAAAACAAAGACCTCTCAAAACAAGATGTGATGCCATAACCACCATGATAAGGGGACACTGACCAGGTAGCAATAAACATCACAACAAATGTCAAAATAGAATAGAACATGCATCAAAATGTAGGTTATGATTAACATACTAACTTAAAATATCAACTTATCAAAAAATGGTTAACATATTCAACCATGGAAATATTAATATTCTAATGGAAGTGCTCTAGAGTCTAGACCCGGCAACATCACCTAGTCATTAGAATCATGTTGCTACAGAAATAAAATACATTTTATATGATTTCTGGGGTAGCACTAGTCAAAAAGGGGAACCATACAGCAGTCCATGGTTTATACTTTTCCAGAAACCAAGGAATAATGGGAAGAAGGATTTTCTGTGATGCAATCTGCTCCATGCATATAGGCCAGATCTTCTCCACTACATGGTTTAACCACCGGACTGTCTCTGAATCAGAAAGCACCTGAAAAGAAATGTCCAACATAATACTGAGGTCTTCATAAACTTCAAATGATTTTTTAACTTTTGGAAAAGACATAAGAAAACAAGTAAAAGGACAAGCAAACAGCATTTCATACTAAAATGGAAAAAGATGGCCCATTAAGCAAACAATACAGAACCATACTACCAGGTAAGAAATTACCCTTCTCTGATTTGCTTGTTTTCTTTCCTCAAACTGTACTTTCCTTCGCAGCCGCATGCTATAACGCACATGGACCTTCAATAAAAGAGAAATGGATATTTAGAACAATAACAAAACAAATCCAGCATACAAGATAGTTACCTAATTCAACTTGATCCACACCACCAGATGCTGAAGCAAAGATGCATAATAGAAACATATTATAAAGAATCATGAATAACACCTAAACAGAAAATTAACATTTGAACAACAGAATCTCTTCCAATCGCAAGCGTTCCAATTTAGATATTAACAACAGCAGGATGACAGCAAATAAAAAAGCATAAAGTTGTACCTAAACAGAAAATTAACATTTGACAAAACAAAACAAAAAAGCATAAAGTTGTACCTGATATAGATAGATTAAGGATATGAAGTAAACAGCAGGATGACAGCAATTGAAAGAAGACAAGGCCCAAAGCAAAGCGAACACAATGGCGACGTGATGTATGATTGAGATATCCGTGATAGCCATATTGGTTTCCAATTACCAAAACCCTGTAACTATTCTAACGAAGGCTCACAACTATTCATCGAATTGATTCCAATATATCTTTCAGAAAGATCCATTCTCACTCCCAAGATCCACAGTTCCCACACTACGGCCGTCAATCAAATTATCTTTCAGTAAGATCCATCTTTGAGTACTCTTAAACCTCACATTCATCGAACTCTCCCTCGATCCCATCCAAACTTCAAATCATACTCTTCCTAGGAAAAAAAAAATCCAGTATTCTAAAGTAATCTGAGAACTTCACATGCGCCACCGATCACATTCAAACAGTTTTTAAGTCATCAAACGGCAAACAAAAATAAAAAGCAAACTTCACCACTTCCAAGCATCAGATTCTTCACGATAAACAAAACCTAGAATTTCCTTTTCTTTCTTCCCAAGCTCTTACCGTGCACCAATCTGAGAAACAAGTCAATTCAGAACAGCCCCTTGACCAAAAAAACAGACAACCCAGAACAGCCTCCAAAGCAAAGTCAAATGAACCAAAGAAAAAGCGTTATATAATCCCCTTATCTGCAAACCCAAAACCGATATCCTGTAACCAATGCTCCTATCTCGAAAACCAAAAATCTCCCCGCATCTGCATCTCGTATTTATTATTTTACACCTAATCAATTCGAGTTATTAAAACCAGAAATTTCCATTTAACGGAAGAGCTCCCGATCTGGGATAACAATTAGGGTTTAAGGATCTGACCGGTTTATGGCAAGAATTCGGTAAAAGCCCGGCAGTCGACGAGGAGAAGTATGAAGGAGAGAAAAAAAAAAAGAAAAAGATGTCTGTAACGTAAGCAAGAGAGCGGTGTCGCCGATTCAGGCTTCGGCTTCACTGTTTCAATGCAGAAGTCTGCACCTTTTGACTAACGGATATCGGGGGACATTTCTGCTGACGTGGAATACGCGGGAATGTGTAGATTGAGCGGTTCCAACTCGGACCGTAATGCTCTACGTGTCCCGGGTTTACCGGTTAATTGTGCGGTTTACCCGTCTAACCCATTACCCAACCATCACTTAACTGGAACCCGGAAAGGTTATCCATTTCCGGTTTTATGGTCCGACCATCCGATCTGGGTCGAAACTTAAAACTAGTCAACACATGTCGAACTGAATTAACGGTTAAGATACTCGGGATCCTTTTTTTATCTATACGAGCCCAATTCAGTGGCTTGATTATGAAATGAGTCAAGGCATGATATGCTTGATATGGGGCATAGCGTATCATATCTTTGAGGTTTTGATATACTTGTTTACAAGTGTTTCGGAACCCTCTTTTTTTAATAAAAAATATGTGAAAAAAACTCTCCCAAAAACCAAAATTTTAAAAGATAAATAAATAAAAGTGCATGGTTTTAAGTATCGATACACAGGGGTGAATCAATACTTTGAACCTTAGTTGTGAGTCAAGGGCTATCAATGGATCGAATACTGGTTCAACACAATCTAGTCCAACTTGAGTCCATTACAAATGGATCGGGTCCAATACACTTCGATAAATATTTTGGACTGGACCAATCCAATTTAATGTCTTATTGGACCATCCAAAATGTTCAATTTGATTTTATTTCAAATTGTGTCCAACCCAGGCATAGTCCATTGACACCCCTACTCCTATCTTCTGTTAGCGGATTGGATATTCATGCAACTCAACCTAGTCTAAAATAAATTCATTACAGATGGGCTAGGTCCAATTCAATCCAATAAATAATTTGGACTATTAATAGGACTACTCATTTGTTAGCTAATGTTAGTTTTAGTTCTTGTTATAGTTTTGTTGAAGTCCCTTCGGAGTGGTTATAAAAGTTCCTAGGTGATGATAGGAGTTTTTCTAGTTTAGTTGGGGGTTAAAGTTTTGTTTTGTTTGGTATGATTAAGAAATAATAAATTAAATATTTATTTATCATTAATTACTTATTTCTCCATATATCTATTTATCCATTTGTTTATTTATTATTTAATTTTGGTGAGACGATGTGACCATTTATCTTTTTCTTATGGAAATATAAGTTGTCAAAAGTAATGTGGTAAATTTGGTAATTTAAAAAAGGGCTAAGGGATAATATTGTCATTTCAAGACAATATATCTACATTTGAATTCAATTGAAATGTGAAAATGATCAAATTGGAGATGACTTTGGGGTTGTTCTATATTGTAGTTGGGAAAAGTATTAGATAGTGCATGCCCTTAGCTCTAATCAAATTGATGTACACTAATTTTCATGTATTAATAATATCAGTACATTATTGTTTTGTGTTAAAATTGGTGTGTTTCTATGAATTACTCCTTAAAATGGACTGGATGCTTATGAGACTTGTATTAGTTTAGAATGTTTTTAGTCATTGGATAAACTTGATAAGCTTATCTTGACAAGAGTAACACTAATGTGCTATCGAGTTGGTAGAGCAGCTTGTTTCAATTTCTAGGGTTAGATCTCAAGCACAATTAGTGGGTCTTTGTGATTGAACTTGGACCAATTTTCAGTTATGCCTTGGACTGTGGAAACATAGATATACATAATATAAAATATATACATATATACATAAATATATGCATACTAGTTGGTTCGATTAATAAAGCATAATATCGTTAATAAAGCATAATATAACCAAAATGTACAAGATAATTTTAAATATGATATCATTAATAAAGCATAATATCGTATTTGTTTCTCATATTTGTAGGATTTTGACCATTTTCACTTACATAAACCTTATATTTAAACAAATTATTGCATATATTAGCCTATACCATTACTATCAAATAGCCACACAACTTACCAAGTGTGTGATTTGTGATTTACATGAGGTTTTAATTCTCCATATCCACACTTTCTAAAGATAAATGTGCTTCATAAAAGTGTCATGACTTCAACTTCATATTATAAAAGTATGCAAAAATTACTTCCTATAAAAAAAAAAACACAAGTTTAACATAAGTACATACATGTTTTTAAGCAGTTAGAGTTTGCACATAAAGGGACAAAATCGATTTTAAGGACAATGGAATTTGTTGTGCCTCATCTTATTATTTTGATAAATTCTTCTTTTATTCTTCTTAGATCTTACTCATCTTGTAAGGTTAAATACATCATCGTTCTAAGACATATATACGCTCCATTAGTTACTACTCTCAATTTGTCTTTTACCTTATACTTATTATGTTGTTACTCAAATTGCATATGAATTATTATTTTGCTATTATTCTAATTGCTTGCACTTATATTTGCCATATCCTTGCTTTATTATAGAACTAGCGGAGTCCCTTGCATTGCAATAGCTGATAAGAATGTTGTTACCATGTTTCTATTGTTGACAACATCTCTATTTGTCATTTATATTGCATATTCTTACAGATGTTTACCATTTTCATCCACCATGGGGGCACCCTTGTTGAATTTCCACCATTGATATACTATGGTGGTGATGTGACATTGAGTACTATAATGTGGATGGTGACTTGTTATCATATATTGAAATAGCTACAATGATGAAAGAATTAGGATATGTTGATCATTAGAGAGTGTTTTACAAGAAGCCAAGCCATGATTTTGATGATGGAATGGTACCCATACAAAATGGTAGAGATGTTTTAAAAATGTGTGTGGTCCATGAAGATAGGCCCCGTATAGATTTATATGTGATCCATGATGTGGATAATGTAGACCTCCCCCCCCCCCCCCATGAGGGAGGATCAACCTGATGTGGGTGATGAGGATCAAGCATATTATTGCTTTAATGAATTAGATTGGAGACTAATAATGACAATGATGACCAAGATTATGTAATGAGCACTAAACATGAAGATGATGAACAGTCAACATCATTAGAGGATGGGACAAGTGCAGCCCATGATTGGTGTGATGCTAAGAAGCACAGTGAGTATGATGGGGAAACATCAACTCTTGCCCCACCTAGTGAACCACAACAAGCTTATAGTGAAGCTCATGATGAAGTTAACAGTGCAGTAGCTCAAGTGGATGTAATTGGACCAGAGTTGCTAGATGATCGTAAATAGCTAGATGATTTATTTTGTCCACATGATTCAAATGATGAACGACACCACAATGGGAGGAATTTGTACCAAAAAGGAAAATGAGTACACCAAAGTTGTTAGTGGGGTTGACATTCATCAATCAAAAAATATTTAGGGAAGCTTTGGTCACATATGCAATTGTGCAATGGTTTTTACTTTGTGTATGTGAAGAATAACAAAGATAAAGTTATAGCTCATTGCAAGAATAAGTGTGGCTAGTGCATATATGCATTTTGGATGCGGGACAGGGAAGCATTCCAAATCAAGTCCTTTCTAGGGAAGTATGAATATGCAAGGGCTCTAAAGAATGATAAGATAAGTTCAGCATGGCTTGCAAAAAGGTTTAAGAACAAATTCTTCGATGACCCAAATATGAAGGTACTTGCATTACATAATGAGACCCTCAAAGATTACAGTGTTGATATCAGTAGGTCAACCGCATATAGATCCAAGATGAAGGTATTAAGTGGTATTAAGGGGATCCAAACTGAGCAATACAAGAAGTCTGGTTATTGTCATGCGTTGTTGAGTTCAAACCCAAGGAGTACAGTGAAGATTGGGTTCAACGATTATTTTCCAAGACAAGTTTAAAGACTATTTTTGTGTTTTAATGCTTTGAAGGTTGGATTCATGGAAGGTTGTCGCTCATTTATAGGGCTTAATGGCTGTTATATGAAGCAACCTAACTTTGGTCATATATTGTTTACAGTTCCCATGAATGGAAACAATTGTATATTCTCAACTGTTTTTTCTATTGTTGAGGCAAAGTGTAGAGTATCTTGGAGTTGGTTTTTGTCTTTATTATTTGAGGTAATTGGAGGCCCAGAGGAGCATGGGTGGACATTTATTTTAGATAGACAAAAGGTGTTTCTCTTAATATATTCATTGCATATATTCCAGTTCATGGATGTTATTTAATTGTTTGTGTGCACATATTAATGATTGTTCATTGTGTTTTTAGGGCCTTGTAGAAACATTTGAGAGAATGATTCCAGGTGTTGAGCATAGATTTTGTGTGAGGCACTTGTATGCAAATTTCAAGGGAATCTTCAAGGGAAGAGACTATTTATGGGGTGTATACAGAGCATACAAGATTGCTGAATTTGATTAGTATATGGAGAATTTGCAGTCTTTGAACAATACTGCATATGAGTGGTTGAAGAAGATACCTCCATCTTTGTGGTACAGATCAACCTTTGGACCAAGGGCACATAATGGTGATGTTTGCAACAACTTTGTAGAGTCTTTTAACAAGTGGATATTGGATGCAATAAACAAACTCGTTATTACAATGATAGAGACAATTATGAGGCAACTAATGAAGTTGGTGCAAACAAGGTATTGGATGCTTGCCAATGAGAAGAGTCCTGTATGCCTAAATGTTAGGAAGAGAATATCATATTTGCAAGAGCATGCCAATACCTGTTCCACTATGTATGCTACAATGTCTTGATTCAAGGTCACTCAATTTGATAAGAGGATGGTTGCCAATTTGGAAAGAATGATTTGTACACGCAGACAATGGGCATTGACTAGGATACCTTGTTGTCATGCAATATCGTGCATACAGATGCAGAAGAGTTCAATATATGATAATGTGTGCCCTATATACATAGTTGCAAGGTGTAAAGGCATACAACAACATCATTGTTCCAATCCCAGATGAGACCCGGTGGCCCCATATTGAGCAACCGATCCCCATTGTCCCACCTGCCATAAGGCCACAACCAAGACGACCTAAGAAACTACAATGAAAGGGCCCATATGGGATAATTAGTTGTCATCATGTGTCTAGAAGGGGTAGTTCATGAAATGCA